TGACCAGCAGTGCCATGCTGATGCTGCCTTCTCAGTGGAAGAAGGGGGGGTTAGAAAAGGTCGGCCCCAAAAATAACACACTCCACCACACCCCACGGTCTGCCGGGCCGGCGGTGTTGGTTCACTTGTCGTTTCCTTTCGACCATCCGGCCCCAAAAAAAAAAAATTCAAAATAATCATACTCAAAAGGCTGGGTGTGACAGGCCTCAAGCAGATGTCCGATGGGCTCTGCGGTCACACAAATCTCTTTCAGGTACCTTAAGAAGAAATAGCCTTCCACGGTGTGGGCAGCCGGGAAGTGTCAACCGCCCTCACAACTCTGTCAGCACCCAAGTTTCTTCTGACTGCTATCCTCCTCCTCCATCATTACCTTCTAATCTTCCTTCACGTCTCTTAATTAATGATGCTGCATCATCTTCAATTTCTCCTACCTCTGCAGCCTTCGACAACGATCTGAGTCCACAGAACAGCATCCCTGGTCTCCTTAAACCACGCTCCAAATTACATATTGGAGCCTTCAATGTCCGCACCCTCCGTCAAATTGGCCAACAGGCTTCGTTGGCAAAGACTCTAGCAACTCGGGCATGGATGTGTGCTGTGTTTGTGAGACACGCATACAGGACCCAAGTGTGGTTATTCACCTGACCTCTCCTGACCAATCTGGTGAATCTGCAAAATTCACCCTTCGAGTTTCTGGAGATTCGATAGCTAGCTCTCGTGGTCTTGCAGGTGTAGGTATAGCATTAAGCACCAGGGCAGAAAACTCACTACTAGACTGGATCCCAGTTGATAGTCGCCTCTGCGCTATGAGGCTGAACGGCACAGTGAGAACTAAAAGGAATAGTGAGACTCGCCGTTGTCTCTTTGTAATCTCTGCTTACGCACCCACTGACTGTAGTTCGGATGAAGTGAAGGACGAGTTCTACCATAAACTGTCTAACCTCCTCTCGAAAGCCAAACGTTCGGACGTAGTGGTTGTTGCAGGTGACCTCAACGCACAGGTGGGTAGACTGAGTGAGGCAGAAAGGCACTTAGGTGGCACTTTCGGAATCCCAGCTGAACGTACAGATAACGGTGATCGCCTATTACAACTATGCTCAGATAACCGCCTATTTTTAGCCAGCACAAATTTCAGACATAAAGAAAGGCACTGTCTGACCTGGCGTCCACCGAGCTCGACTCAGCGATGGACACAGATAGACCACATTGCTATTAGTCATCGCTGGAGAGGATCGGTGGAAGACTGCCGCTCCTTCTGGAGTACGTGTTTGGACAGCGATCATGCGTTGGTCCGAGCACGTATATGCCTGCGTCTCAATGGACGTAGAAAAAATTTGGCAACAAAACCACTACGAGTTCTGCTGGACAACGAAAACACCAAAGCCGTGTTCAGTGAGAAGTTGGCTAGGCAGTTATCGGAACAAAAGACTGTCACTCATCCAGAAGAAGCTTGGTGCCATCTTCAGTCTACTGTAAAAGCAGCACTGGAGACTGTAGCCGACTCCAAGATAATGGCTAAAAAGAGCCAGTGGATATCAGCAGCTTCTTCCAAACTAATGGATGCACGTGAATGCATCCCTGCAGGCTCTGAGTACAATGAAGAGCGAGCGCAACTTAAAAATAAACTGACGAAAAGTCTGCGCAACGATCGTGAACAGTGGTGGGCAGCAAAGGCTAAAGAGATGGAAAAGGCAGCGGCGATCGGTAACAGTAGACAGTTATTTAGACTTATTAAGGAGACTGGGGGGAAATGGTCAACAACAGTTAGTGAGGTTATAGCGGAGAAGGACGGATCGGCGATTCACTCGCAGGGAAGGCGACTGGGACGATGGGCAGAACACTTTGAGGAACAGTTTAACTGGCCTCCAGCCACCATTGCGCTGCCCGCTATCCAGTCGGACCCTGAATGGGACATAGAGACAGGTCCCCCAACACTAGAAGAAGTTGAGAAAGCGGTAGGTAGCCTGAAACGGGGAAGGGCAGCAGGACCAGACGGACTACCTGCTGAGGTATACAAGAATGGTGGTAGAGTTCTCTTAGTCAGGCTAACGGAAGTGTTAGCCAGTATATGGGAATCAAATACGATCCCCTCCGACTGGTCTAAGTCACTGATCATCCCAGTCTTCAAGAAAGGCGAGAAGTCCTCTTGTGATAACCACAGAGGAATCAGCCTGACAAACATAGTGTCTAAGATCCTAAGTTCTATAATTCTCCGACGCCTGAGTGGAGCTCGGGAACAGCAAGCCCGAGAAAACCAGGCAGGCTTTAGACCTGGCCGTGGATGTATCGACCAAATATTCACACTGCGCCAGGTCCTGGAACATAGGCATGCTTACAGACGCCCGACAATAGCTGTATTTCTCGACCTGAAGGCGGCATTTGACTCCGTTGATCGAGAAGTCTTATGGCAGTGTCTGTCACTGAAAGGCGTGCCTAGTAAGTACATCACCTTATTGAAAGCTCTCTACTCGAACACTTGTGGGCATGTTAGAGCCTATGGTGAGTTGTCCAGGGAGCTATACTCATCAAGTGGTGTCCGTCAAGGATGCCCACTATCCCCATTCTTATTTAATTTTATCATAGATATTCTTATGGAGGTTTCCCTCTCGTCACCTAATTACAAAGACGTTGACCGGATCACAGGTGAATTTTCCTTAGATCTAGAATATGCAGATGACATAGTCCTGTTAGGTGAAGACGCTGACAAGATGCAGAGTCTTCTGAACACTTTGAGTGGGAATTTGAGAATGTTTGGGATGCGATTTTCACCACCCAAATGCAAATTTTTGCTCCAGGACTGGTCTTCAGCGGTACCGCGGTTAACAATAGAGAGTGAAGTGGTTGAGTGTGTTGACCACTTCACTTACCTGGGAAGTAGGATCAACCCCGGTGGGTTAGTTGCCGATGAGATTTCTGCACGGATACAAAAGGCTCGATTGGCTTTTGCCAATTTGCGCCACCTATGGCGCCGCCGTGATATTCGTTTGTCTATTAAGGGTCGCGTGTACTGCACAGCAGTCCGCTCTGTTCTACTGTATGGCTGTGAAACATGGCCATTGAAAGTGGAGGATACAAAAAGGCTTCAGGTGTTTGACCACCGTTGCCTTCGTAGTATAGGACGTATTCCGTGGTGTCACCATGTGAGTAATGCAGAAGTTAGGTGTAGAGTTTTGGGGAGAAGAGGTAAGTCAGTCGACGAGGTTGTGAACCTTCATCGACTGAGATGGTTGGGACACGTACTACGTATGCCTAGTCACCGATTGCCTCGTCACACAATGTTGGCTGAGGTGGGTTCAGGCTGGAAAAAGGCCCGAGGTGGCCAGACTAAAACATGGCACCAATGTATGAAGTCTCTGACTGTTGGTTTAAGCCATGTAGGACGATGCAGTTTACTAGGTGGTTGGGGTCCACGGGACAAGAGGAACCAGTGGTTGGATTTTGACCCTAGGTGATATGGCTCAGAACCGAAGTCAGTGGCGCAGATGTATACACACATTATCCTCATCTTAACAACGCTATACCGAATCTCACTATTTTGTCACTCCTCTTTCCTTTCTTCTCGTACTTTATATTTCTTTTGACTGCATTCACTTATCTTCATCCTTCACCTCACTACCTTTTTACTTGATGTGCTGATATGAGGTGTGGCAACTCGGACCGTTACGCAGTAATGCCTGGTCCCATGTTGATAATGATGATGATGATCTATTTGCTCTCAGTTGTTTCATAAACAGTTTTTTAACGTTAGTATGATCGTTTTTCTCTTCACTTCTTGCATACTACTGTAACAACTAACGCTTTCTGTGCCAGGTTTTATCTTACTTTGTCTATGTGTCTGTATAGGAAGTGATTTGTGGTGGAGAATATTTGTAGCTCAGATGGATGGTCTTAGTTGTATTGTGTTCTCTGAGCTGATTTGTTTGATTGTGGGGCTTTCATTGTCTTTCTAGACGACATCATCAACACTAACTTCAGCATGAACTTCATATTAAAGTTAATGATGTCGTCTAGAAAGATGATGAAAGCTCCACGGCTAAACAGCCCAGCTCAGAGAACACAATACAACCAAGAGAAGTAATTGGTGCATAGCAAAATGTTAAATAAAGGATGTTTGTGTCGGGTTAGGTTTAATATCACATCAAAACTCCGTCATTGGAATTCGAGAGATATTGCCAAAAAAAACTTTAAAAGTCACTAGATAATGGTCAAATTCGAGACAGGTGGGGTCATACTGTGGTTTTCTTGTATCTTTTATTTTTGAAACGTGACACAAATTAGTAATGATGTATTAACAGGAACTACGTGTAGTTATTCATTTGACGTAACGTGTTCAATGTGGTTCATCTGCGAAATTCCTTTCAGGACTGTCCAGAGATTTACTGGTCGGTCCCGGTCGATTAGCTGGTGTTGACACAGCAATTATAATGACGATTCGACCCGAGTGATTCGCAAAGAGAAATCAAAGGACTGGAAATCAGATGGGTTTATAGTATCTTAAACTGAAAACGTTTATGATTGAGAACAGACCCTATTTATAGAGTTTAAAGTAACCTTGACAGGCAAGGAATAATTAGTACATTAAAAAAAAGCAGAAACCAAACAGAAAGCTAGCGGGTCACACGAAATATGACCCATGCGCGGTAAAAAGAGCGCGAAGCAAAACGACTCAAATATACTCAAATTGTAAGTGTGCGATATAAGGGATATAGGCAAACCTAACAATATGTTTCCGGACTGTTTGACCACATCTCTTGGTGCCCTTGTTGTACCGAGTTTGTTTCTAAAATGAGTAAGTAAAAATATTCATGATGGCATAAGCTGACTGACCACTGTCAAGTTATAGGCTATTTTAGTTTCTAATGTAATGAGGTAAGTAATCATTTGGCCTGTAAACTCTCATATTCATTTCTGTTGTGATTAAATTGCATGCCAATTATTTGAATAACAAATGGCTACTTGATGGTTTCCGCTTGTTTTTTCTCGGTTTTTATGTACCATAGAATGCGCATTAAGAAACCGCCTCTACTTCTAGCTCTTCATCTGAAGCGTTTTAAGTATTCAGAAAATCTTAATCGATTTATCAAACTATCCTATAGAGTTGCCTTTCCTATGGAATTAAGACTTTTTAATACGGTAAGTATTGTCTCATATATCTATACATTTTTAAATACCTTTTCGGAGTTAATTTTTTACAACTTTTGCCAGATGCCAGTAAGAATTCTGATAGATCATATATAAATTACTGGTGGTCGGAAGCTTTCATTGACTTGAACATTCAACTTACAACCAACAGGTCGCGGGTTAAAAGCCTGCTCACCTAATAAGGTTCGGACAGACGGGTTGTATAATAAACTGTTACAGTCTGGTGTGCAAATCTGCTTTAGGTTGCTGAGTCTCACATTTTAAAGAAATACAAATTTATGGTCGTTGCTGAAAACTGACTGCCTACCCAAAAAATTTCATAACTCCCCTTGATTAACTGTATATTCTTCTATAGGTAATATTCAGTCATATGATTTTCAGTTGCATCTTTTGTACAAAAATGACAGTTTCTTTCCTAATTCATTGTTTTGCTTTGACGCGCTGTTATGGAGTGTAGCAACTTCGTCCATTACTAAGTAATGCAACGTACTCATTGCTTGGTTAATTTGGGGGCTCACCTTATAGAAGTGTTTGTCAGTTGTTCAGAAGCTTAATTATCAACTTCGTCATGAGTTCGAATAAGATCCATTTTTTGTCGTATCATAGCTCTTTGGTTTTAGTGAAATATGCTGCCTAAGGTAGTATTCTACGTTTTGATAGTAAGCAGCGTTGCCTCAGTCTGTAAACCGTACTTTGAAGTAAACTGGTTTGAAATCTTAGTTGACATATCTTCACATTATTTCATCTTTGTACTAGTTAACTTCTTGAAGAACTTAAGTACTGTCAAATTAAAATATTATCTACCAGTGATTTCGAAACTTCAAACCTGAAGTGTTTTGGTGCTATAAGCACTAGGTGTCTTTTAAGCAGAATATGCGTCCAGCGCGAGGCGGCCAGACCGAAACATGACACTAGTGTATGAAGTCTTTGACTGTTAGTTTAAGCCATATGGGGTGATGCAGACTAGGTGGTTGGGGTCCGCGGGACATCATCATCAGCATAGAACCAGGCATTACTGCGTAGCGGTCCGAGTTGCCACAGCTCATGTCATAATATCAAGTAAAAGGGCAGTGACGTGCAAGATGAAGATAAGAAAATTCAGTCAAAGTAAATATAAAGTACGAAAAGAGAGAAAGGAAGAATGAGAAAATGGTGAGACTCGGTATAGCGTTAAGATGAGGATAATGTGTGTATACATCTGCACCACTGACATCGGTTCTGAGCCATATCACCTAGAGTCTCCAACCACTGGTTCCTCTTGTCCCATGGACCCCAGCCACCCAGTCTGCATCGCCCCACATGACACAAACCAACAGTCAGAGACTTCATACATTGATGCCATGTTTTACTCTGGCCACCTTGAGCTTTTTTCCGGCCTTCAACTACTTCGGTCAACATTGTGTGACGAGGCAGACGGTAACTAGGCATGCGTAAGACGTGTCCTAACCATCTTAATCGACGAAGGTTCACAACCGTGTCAACTAACTTACCTCTACTCCCTAAAACTCTACTCCTAACTTCTGCATTACTCACGTACATTACACCACGAAATACGGCCTATACTTCGAAGGCCTGAAGCTTTATCATGTCTTCCACCTTCAATGGCCATGTTTCACAGCCATACAGTAGAACAGGCCGAACTGCTGTGCAGTACACGCGAGCCTTAACAGACAAATGGATATCACTGCTTCGCCACAGGTGGCGTAGGTTGACAAAAGCCAGCCGAACCTTTTGTATTCGTGCAGAAATCTTGTCGGCCACTGAACCACTAGGACTGATCCTACTTCCCAGGTAAGTGAAGTGGTCAACACACTCAACCACTACACCCTATTGTTAGCTGAGGCACTGTTGAAGACCAATCCTGGAACAACAATTTGCATTTGTGTGATGAGAACCGCATCCCAAACATCCTCAAATCGCCACTCAAAGTGTTCAGAAGACTCTGCATTTTGTCAGTGTCTTCACCTAACAGGACAATGCCATCTGCATATTCTAGGTCTAACGAAAATTCTCCTGTGATTAGGTCAACCTCTTTGTAGCCAGGTGACAAGAGCGGGACCTCCATAAGAATATCTTTAATAAAATGGAATAGGAATGTGAAGGTTGGGCACCCTTGATAGACACCACTCGACGAGTGCAGCTCCCTGGACAACTCACCATAGGCTCTAACATGCCCACAAGTGTTCGAGTAGAGAGCCATCAATAAGGTGATATACTTACTCGGCACGCCTTTCAGTGAGACACATTGTCATAAGACTTCTCGAATGCCGCCTTCAGGTCGAGAAATACAGCTAGTGTCGGGCGTTGGTAAGCGTTCTTGTGTTCCAGGGCCTGGGGCAGTGTGAATATTCGATCGATACACACGCGGCCGGGTCTAAAGCCTGACTGGTTTTCTCGGTCTTGCTGTTCTCGAGCTCCACTAAGGCGTCGAAGAACCGTGGAACCTAGATACTATGTTCTTCAGGCTGATTCCTCTGTGGTTATCACAAGAGGACTTCTCGCCTTTCTTGAAGACTGGAATAATCAATGATTCAAACCAGTCAGAGGGGATCGTATTTGATTCCGATATACTGGTTAACACTTCCGTTAACATGACTGAGAGCACCTTACCACCATCCTTGCATACCTCTGGAGTTAGTGCGTCTGGTCCTGCCGCCCTTCTTCGTTTCAAGTTACCTACTGCTCTCTCGACTTCTGAAAGTGTTGGGTGGCCTATCTCGATGTTCCACTCAGGGTTTGACTAAATAGCGGGCAACGCAATGGTGGCTGGAGGCCAGTTAAACTGTTCCTCGAAGTGTTCTGTCCATCGTTCCAGTCGTCTCCTCTGCGCGTGAATCGCAGATCCGTTCTTCTCCACTATAGCCTCACTAACTGTTGTTGACCTTTTCCCCCTAGTTTCCTTAGTAAGTCTAAATAACTCTACTATTACCGGTCGCCGCCGCCTTTTCCATCCGTTTAGCCTTCTCTTCCCACCACTGTTCGCAGTCGTTGCGTAATTTTTTCCTTAATCTGCTTTTAAGTTGCGCTCGCTCTTCATTGTACTCGGAGCCTTCAGGGATGCGTTCACGTGTATCCGTTAGTTGGGAAGAAGCTGCTGATATCCACTGGCTCTTTTTAGCCACTATTTTGGAGTCGGCTACAGTCTTCAGCTCTGCTTTTACAGTAGACTGAAGATGACACCAAGCTTCTTCTGGATGAGTGATAGTGTTCTGTTCTGATAACTGTTTAGCCAACTTCACACTTAACATAGCTTTGTTATTTTCGTTGTCCAGCAGACCTCGTAGTGGTTTTGTTGCCAAATATTTCCTACATTCATTGAGACGCAGGGATATACGCACTTGGACTAACGTGTGGTCGCTATCCAAACACGTATTCCAGAATGAGCGGCAGTCTTCCACCGATCCTCTTCAGCGATGACTGATAGCAGTGTGGTCTATCTGTGTTCATCACTGGGGTTTGGGGAACGCCAGGTCAGACAGTGCCTTTCTTTATGTCTGAAATTTGTGCTAACTGAAAATAAACGGTTATCTGAGCACAGTTGTAGTAGGCGATCACTGTTATCTGTCCGCTCAGCCGGGACTCCAAAAGTACCACCCAAGTGGCTTTCTGCCTACCCACCTGTGCATTGAACTCAACTGCAACAGCCACCACGTCCGAACGTTTGGCTTTCGAGAGGAGACTAGACAGTTTACGGTAGAACTCGTGCTTTACTGCATCCGATCTGCAGTCAGTGGGTGCGTAAGCAGAGATTACAAAGAGACAGCGGCGACTCTCACTACTCCTTATAGTCCTCACTGAGCGGGACTGCGCAGAGGCGACTATCACATGGGATCCAGTCTAGTAGTGAGTTTTCTGCCCTGGTGCTTAATGCTATACCTACACCTGCAAGACCACGAGAGCTAGCTATCGAATCTCCAGAAACTCGAAGGGTGAATTTTGTGGATTCACCAGATTGGTCAGGAGAGGTCAGGTGAATAACCATACTTGGGTCCTGTATGCGTGTCTCACAAACACAGCACACATCCATGCCCTGAGTTGCTAGAGTCTTTGCTAACGAAGCCTGTTGGCCAATTTGACGGAGGGTGTGTACATTGAAGGCTCCAATATGTAATTTGGAGCGTGGTTTAAGGAGACCAGTGATGCTGTTCTGTGGACTCAGATCGTTGTCGAAGGCTGCAGAGGTAGGAGAAATTGAAGATGATGCAGCATCATTAATTAAGAGACGTGAAGGAAGATTAGAAGGTAATGATGGAGGAGGAGGATAGCAGTCAGAAGAAACTTGGGTGCTGACAGAGTTGTGAGGGCGGTTGACACTTCCCGGCTGCCCACACCGTGGAAGGCTATTTCTTCTTAAGGTACCTGAAAGAGATTTGTGTGACCGCAGAGCCCATCGGACATCTGCTTGAGGCCTGTCACACTCAGCGTTTTGTGTATGGTTATTTTGAACTTTTTTTGTTTCGGGGCGGGATGGTCGAAAATAAATGACAAATGAACCAACACCGCCGGCCCTGCAGACCGTGGGGTATAGTGGAGTGCATTATTTTCGGGGCAGACTTTTTCTAATCCTCCCTTCTTCCACTGAGAAGGCAGCATCAGCATGTCACTGCTGGTCATCCAAGGGAAACCTCTTACTGCTACCACCCCCCATCCAGCTAGCAGCAGTACGACTTCGCCCTCAGACCCCCATCATAGTATAGTAATTCACACCACAACGGTAACTGCTTTTCGTCTAACCACTACCCAACAGACCTTTCTGGTATGGTAGGACCTAGAGGGAACAAGCGTTCCACCAGCATAGCTCGTTGGGTCATTGTGATATGCAAGCCCGACCACCACGTCAAGGTACCAGCTACCGGTCGATCCACGGGACGAGAGGAACCAGTGGTTGGAGACTCTAGGTGATATGGCTCAGAACCGATGTCAGTGGTGCAGATGTATGCACACATTATCCTCATCTTAACGCTATACCGAGTCTCACCATTTTCTCATTCTTCCTTTCTCTCTTTTCGTACTTTATACTTACTTTGACTGAATTTTCTTATCTTCATCTTGCACGTCACTGCCCTTTTACTTGATATAGTGACATGAGCTGTGGCAACTCGGACCGCTACGCAGTAATGCTTGGTCCTATGTTGATTTGGATGGATAGGGAATATGCATCCACCTATCAGAAGTAGTTGAACATTACCCATGTTAGTCGGCGTCTATTTTTTCTCATGGACGAAAGTAGTGCGAACCATATGAGATGGCTTGGTCGTAGCTGTAGCAAGTGATTTCCATCTTGTTTGGCTGGGATTTTGAAAGTTTCAACTAAATGCCTTCCTTCCTGGTGTAGTGCATTGGCAGAGATTACAAAAAATAACAGTTTCATCTCTCCTTTTAGTCCTCACTACACCATTCAGACGAACAGCGCACAGGTGACTGTCAACTGGAATCCAATCAAGCACTACTAATTCTGTCTCAAGAAATAATGCTATACCTGCAACTTCACGACCACGAGAACTTGTCGAATTCCAGAAGCTCGAAGAGTCAACGTTGTGGGTTCACCAAAGTGACCAAGTGAGTAAGCCCAGTTGGATTCTGTATTCGTGTCTCGCAAGCATGGTACACGTTTACGACCCGAGATGCCAGAGTTTCAACTATCAAAGCTTCATCGATTTGACGCAGAGTGCCGACGTTGAAACCTCTGAGGTCTAGTCTAGAGTGGGATTTCAGGAGATCAGGGATGGTGTTTTGCGAAGCAGAATCGCTAATGAGGGCTGAAGAAACTGAAGATGGCATTAGAATATTAACGTAGAAACGTGACAAAAAATGAGAAATCAATGTAGGATGTTGATAAGGAACTTGGAAGACTTGACAGACAGATAGAATCAACTTAGAACCTCTTCCAGTAGTATGATGCCTTTTGTCACGCTTGAAAGTAACGCACAAAGAACAAGTGGATACGAAGACTATTATCAAAGTAGGCAAATGAGTATGGAAGAAGAGGGGATTCAAGTATGAAGGTTTGTCAAGACATTCTAGCTTTGGAAGATGTCAGAGTGAATACATCTACGCCATTATGATCGATTTTCAGGCATGTTACCAAGAGTCCTCAACCACTGACTCCTACCGTCTCGGGGACCCCAACCAGGTAGTCAAAACCTCTCTACACGGCTCAGACCAACAATCAGAGACTCTATAGACTAGTGTCATTACCTTCACCCAGCAGGACAATATCGTCTGTATGCTCCAAGTCAGCCGAATGATCAATCCGTTTGGTGAAGTCAGGCGTAATTTTTTTTTATTATTTCTGTTAGTACGTGTATGACGAAGTTAAATAGGTACAGTGACAGTGGGCATCCATGGAGGACACAACTAGTTGTCAGTGCTAATGACAACTCCCCATAAGATGTGATACGGCCGCGTGAGTCCGAGTGGAGAGCTTTGATTAGTGTTATATGCTTTCTCGGTACTCCCTTCACAGTCAGACACTGACACAACACCCCACAGTTGACACAATCAAATGCCACATTTGAGTCAAGAAATATGGCAATTTTCGGTCCCCGGTAAGTATGCCTGTGTTCCAGGACCTGTTGGGAGGTGAAAACATGATCGACGCACCTTCGTCAATGTCTGGAACTTGCCTGGTTTTCTCGAGCTGCAGTTAGGCGTCGGATAACTATGAACCCTAGGATTTTGGACACGGTATTAGTCAAACTAATTCTTCTTTGGTTGTCAAAAGAAGACTTGTCTTCCTTCTTATAGACTGGGATGATCAATGGATTGAACCAGTTTGACGGTACTGCCTCTGATTGCCATACACTGCCTAGTACCTCCGTCGCTTTAAGCAGGAATTTCCTACCTCCATCCTTGAAAATTTCGTGTGGCAAACTGTGAGGTCCTGCTGGTTTGCGTCGTTTCAGGTTCGATACAGGACATTCGTGTAATAATTGTGATTTGTGATACTGACGATGAAGGCAAGTTGAGAATGCAGGTCGATAATTTTTTTGGTTGCATGAGTACATACACTCCTGATTTTTCAGGGCTTTTTGGATAAAAGTGTAGACAGTGGAGTCCGGTGAACTAAGATATTTTTAGCAATGTCAACCGATTTTGATTTTGGCATCTCTTTCCATCATTTCCTGCATTTAATCCCCGTGATAAGAATGAAAACTCAATGAGGACACCATTCGCAGAATAATGTGACGTCATTTCATTTTGATATTTATGGATATTTCTTAATTAAACTGATGAACATTTAACGACGAAGTATTGTAATTACTGGCTGTCCTGCCCTCCATCCTGTTTCTCGGTAACTGATTTCGATATTAAATTTTGTAGCATGTTAAAGGTTCCCAGGAGGAGAAAGTAGTTTACACAAACGTAAGGGCTATGCAGACTGTTGAGGAAAAGCAACAAAACTTGAAGCATTCGCCATAAAATTTGAGACGACTTTATAAATATTCTACAGGTAATCGTCACTAAGCGATATCACAGTTTGAATGACAGAAGAGAAGCATTTATCGTAAGGGTAGATGTTGGGAACTGTAGTAGTGTGAATTAACTGTCGAGTTTTTAACACTGCGAAACAAAATAATTTACCTTATATTTAACTTAGTTTTCAGGACCGTTACTTTGTACCTTCCTATTATGTGGTCATGTCTGGTCACATGTATCATAATGACTGGACTTTTTTTAAGATTTTCTACAGGGTCTGACATTCTAGATTTGTTTAAGCTTTTGTGCTCTGATATTCTAAGTGACCCTATTCGACTACTTTGACCTATATGTTTGACTTAATAACCATTGCCTAGAATTCGATAATCTAAATTATTCGTCCTATGGGCTCTGTAAAACCCTTTAGTTTACAAAGTTTTTTTCGTAGTAAGTATGTGAGTTTAAATGGTATCAGTAGGTCATGAGGTCGAACACTACTCCACCTACCGAGGTTTGGATACCCAGTTAGCATATAACTAGCTCACACAATAGGTGTGGCTTATTGCCTACTGTACGAGTGTAAGTGAATTTCGATTGAAAATTCTATCCGAATCGCTACCCTGTTGTGAATACTATGTAAACCTTCGCAGGTCCCTTCCCTGTAAAAAAGAAACAATAATATTTAACAAACAGATTACCCTGAAGGGAGAAAATTTTCAAATTATCCAACCAGTTATTTATTTTTGTCCCCTCTTTTATTGAATAAGTTATGAATTCTTAATTATTTTTTTCCACCTACGTCGACTTGACTAACCGGTTAGTATCATAAACCAGCAAGTAGTAAGTAAGGCTCACTACTTAAGTGCATATTGTTATTTTTTATTTTGTTACTAGTCTAGCGATTCGTCTAACTCTGATCGTCTCTACAATCTAATGGCTGTCGTTGTTCACTCAGGATCTGGTCCAAATCGTGGACATTATGTAACACTTGTAAAATCTCATGGACTATGGTTTTTATTCGATGATGAACTAGTTGAAGTAGGTTTTATCCCCTTGTGCTTCTTATTTTTACAGTGTTTTGCTTCACTATTAAGCCAAGTTCTTGGTTATCCTTACGACCAATTCATGGTGAATGCTATTGATACTGTTTTTAACTCTTATTAACTGAATATACGCTGCTTAACTCCAGCAGATATTCTTGTTCCCACTTGAATTAGAATTAGTGTAGGTAAAATCCTCATGCAGACGAATGTGAAAAATACGAATCGTTCAACTAAGTGAATCTTTTCGACGACTTTGTTCTTAAAGCTGTACAATTACAACTATATACAATTTTCCTGATTATAAATGTCCAATGATATACAATCATTTATTTTTTGTTCAAAGCGTATACTAAAAAATGAGATATATTGACATCAGTAAAAGATAATAAAAGCTGATAAGGTTTGTGGGTATTAATCTCAGTTTAGCAGAAGTTAGATGAAGCGACTATTTTTTGGCAGTAAGTTGTGCAACATGATAAAAATATTTAGAGAATGAATTGTTATCAAAAAAGCAGAGAAACAAGTAAGAGTTGAAATTACGTAAGAAGTGAACAGAATAAAACAGCCAAAAAAAGGAGGTGGTTTGAAACATAAAACCATTTTGGATGACTCGTGGAAAACGACTGATACACTTAAGTCTACAGGAACAGGGGAATTAGTATACACATGGAAATGGTAGGAAGTGAGACCTTATCCTTCAAATTGTTACAAACCAGTGAGCTTCTGATGAGGACTACTCCTAACGTTGTTGCAAAGAAATCCTTCCACTAAGAATAACAGCAGCTTGACCACCTTTGAATCCAAGGTTCATGTACAGTATCTGCCTTGACACAGAAATGAGGCGTTCTCTGAGTCTTGGGCTTGATGTTATCATCGATGAAGTGAGGTAGATATAAACTTTTGGTTAGGATTTTTCTGATGTTTGGTTCACCTTCTAAGGTATCAGGGCTACTAATACACCAGATGGTGGTTGCAAGAGATATAATTTATTTTATTTTGTGGCTAATAGGCACCCAACTGTGGAAGCTTACGAGGTAAACATTCCATATAAGCTTTCTGTAAATTGGTCTCATCAATGATTCAGTTTTCCCTACCAACTATACGTCGAAAAACTTCAAGAGTAGATTTCAACACTGAGTGGTAACTATTAAGAACACTTAATACATCATTCAAGTCAGATTTGTTGACTTCAGCCGTTCATTCTCCAAAGTCAAAGAAAGTATTATTAAGGTGCACTCTCAGTGTAAGTTCAGAATCAACGATGCAATCTGCAGGCATAAAGGGTGCTTTGGAACCATCCTGATAATACTTCTGCGTTAGTAAATATGATCGAAAATAGATATCCACCTCGTTTCATCAATAAAAGAATCAAGTTTAAGACTAAAAAAGATGACCTCGATTCTGTGTCGAGGCAGATACTGTACATGAACCTTGGATTCAAAGGTGGTCAAGCTGCTGTTATTCTTAGTGGAAGGATTTCTTTGCAACAACGTTAAGAGTAGTCCTCATCAGAAGCTCACTGGTTTGTAACAATTTGAAGGATAAGGTCTCACTTCCTACCATTTCCATGTGTATACTAATTCCCCTGTTCCTGTAGACTTAAGTGTATCAGTCGTTTTCCACGAGTCGTCCGAAATGGTACAAGAACACTTCATGGTTGCGAAGAAGTGGTTATTGTAAAAAAAGAGAATTTCGGAGTTTTGACACCTAAGTGACCTAGGCCTTGTGTTAAATTAAATTTACAACATTCTGCAGCATATCTATCGATCATCCTTCAGGCTTTTCAGCCCTCCACCTTTCTGACCAGTAATCTTTGATCTTCCCCAGCTGAACAATACGTAGTTGATTATTCTAGCTTTCTTTTCATTTGACCAATGATGTCAGTTTCACAATTATTGCAGAGTTCTAACTGAAGTTTTGAAACACTGAACAATCAAATGTAAGGTTACTGGTTCGAACTAGATGGAGTGAGAAGGATAAAACGTGACACAGCAGTGGATCGATTTAAGCTTTTAAATTTTCAAGGGCACATAGAAGTCCGATTATCGTAAGGTGAAATTCAAAACAGAGTAAAGAACGAAAATAACTAATACATAAATTAATAATAATAGGATTCTTAAATTTCAGAAGAATACACACCCAGTTACTCTGAACTACTGCCACTGATTTTTAGTCGTGTTGTGCATGATCTACAGACTCTTATTTTCTCTTCGCACCTGTCAAATATAAGATGATGCTCCAGAACTTGTCTGCTGCAAATACTCCCAGTTTAATGATAGGCAGTGAAGTGATGAAATTTCCCGACCACTTCACTTATTTGGGGAGTTACATCAACCCGAACGGGGTGGTTGCTGACGAAATCTCAACTCGGATACATTTGGGCCATTTGGCGTTCACCAACTTACATCATTTCTGGTGGCGACTGGCGAAATATCCGACTATCTATCAAAGGACGAGTATATTGCACTGTAGTCCTGTTATACGGCTGTGAGACATGCCCGTTAAAGGTAGATATGGAGTGTTTTGATCACAGATATCGTAATATTGTTCACGTTCGGTGGAATCAGCGTGTGATCAATGTTGGGATCAGGCGAGGAGTGCTAGGCAAGATTGGAAAGACGATTGATAAGGTTGTAAGCCTTAGTCGACTGAGATGGCTTGGTTGTGTTGTGCATGCCGAGTCATCGCCTATCTCGACGTGTCATGGTAAGGGAAGTTGGATTGCGTTGAAAGAGGATTTACGGTGGGGAGGCCAAGATATGACACCAGTCGATGAGGTCCCTGGCTGCTGGTCTGAGTCGTGTGGGGAGATGTTGACTACGTGGATGGAGTCCCCGAGACGGTAGGAGTCAGTGGTTGAGAACTCTTGGTGACATGGCCGAAAATCGGTCACAATGGCGTAGATGTGTTCACTGCTTGACGTCTTCTACAGCTTGAATATTTGCACTAAATCTTCAAATTGCTTATTCTCTCACACAACGTTTTCTACTTTGAAATCACTTGTATTCTATCCACTTGTTCCTTGTATACTACTATGAAGTGTGACAACTTGAACCGTTGCAGTTGTGTGCAAGGTTCTACGTTGATTTTGTCTATCTATCTGATTCCCTCTAATTTAGTGACTCACTTTAGGTTTCTAACTGTATTTCGAAGTTCCGACCCCCATGGAATGTATTGTGTCTTGGTGTAACATTTTTTCTTCTCATTGCAAACTACTTATGCGCTAACCAACATTAGAACATTGTGTCTAAAGGACTTGACGCCCTGATAGGTAGAGGTTTGAAACCCTGTCGATAGAATTGCTTTTCTTTCAAATCATGTGCTGTAACCTTCAGCAATGTTAACTGGATGTTTCATTGACCTATGACCACTTATTTCAGGAAATATATGATTGTATAATACATTTAACGTCAACTGAAATCTTCTGTGAATGTTCACTACTTATTTTGGTAAATGTTTGTGCTTTTCCCGTAAACTAAAGCAACTTTTGGTTCTACTAATTGACATAAAGTTTTTTAAACTTTCCTGTCTAGAAAATTCATCGTACAAATATTGAGGACTTTTTTGGTTCTTCTACGGAAACTGCAAAATCTTCATACACAGCCTACATCCTCTTCTACTTAGATGCTAAAGTTGCGTCGAATACATCAGCAGCTGCTGCTGCCACTGCCAGTTCCTCTCTGGTTAGTAATAGTAATGGTGGTAGCACGGGGAGTTCGGTGTCAATGTGATCAATCAAATAACTAGATACATTGCTCCCGATCACTTCTTTCACTCTATCATTCATTACTTTTTGTAGCATTTTATTTGCCATTTTTTCCATTTTCGTCACCAGATTTACGATGTAATTTAAAGCGTATTTCAACATGTCTTTACAAACCTTATCCATGTTCACGTACACAAGTTGATTGTGCAATCAGATTATGTTGGATTATTTTGCATATACACCTATGCACGTATATTTATTTTATATACTTACTTGTGTTCGTGTAATATGTATATATAATGTACCTGTGGATAGGTCAAAATAAATTGCGACTGAAACACAGACTATTCTTCTTTTGTACTGGCATTTCTTTCATTTTGTCTGTGTTTCATATGTTTTGGTAGCTTAATGATACGTTTTTGGGGTTAATGGGGATTTCAGAACAGTATTCATCACTGACTGATACCAGTTGGAGAACCATTGTTCAGATACATTAGTGTTTAATGCTCATTAGTGACATGCTTTGAGATGGGTAACCTGAAGTTCTAATGAGAAGCTGTGACCTGTGGAGTCAACCAGTCGAAACTGAAGCGGATGCTAGCTGAAGACCTTGGATGAGAGTCACACTATATCGCAAATCGACAGAAGTGGAAAACTGTGGACCATTGGATTTTGACCCAGTGGTTGAGTGGTTAACATGTTCACTGTAAAACCCTGAAGGTCCTGAGTTCGATCCCTAACTGGATCGTGGACGCGTACTGCTGAGGAATTTCGTACTCTAGTACGAACAAAACAGCTGTCCATTGCTATTCCCAAGTTTCCAATGTTTCTTAAATTGATGTCAGCCCATGATGAATACTACCTTAAACTTATTAATAATTCCAAATTATCAGTCAATAGTAGCATAGAGTCTTTCATCACTGCGTAACAGCTCAAGTTACTATAAAGTGTGCCAAAGTCAACTTGGTATGTTGAGTGATTTTTAGTTGAACAGGTCACTGAAAATGGTTTTTCTAAAAATTTTATAGGCAGTGTTTTTCGATGTAAGCCTTTAAAGTCGGAGATGAAGGTGATATAGTGTAAAGCGGGAGTATCATTCGTCCAAAACAACATTTTGGTTCCATTTCCAACCTGCATCTTTGTCCAAAGGAAGTAATCTTTTACCACATTATGGTGAGGATTCGTTACTTCCAGCCTACAGACAAAGAATGACATTAAAGTGGGCGAATTTGTAAGAGAGTAGAAAGGAGAAATGAAAGTTTATTGCAAATATTCGATAATTTCAGCGTGGAAATGGGTGTATGCATCTGCATGATTGTAATCAGCTTTCAACCTCTCTAGCTATTTTAGTATATATCATTATTATCATTATTATTATTAGGCCCTTGGGTTCCTAGTGGAACATAGGGCTTCAGTAGCGCGTCTCCAGTGAACTCTGTTCTCTGAGATCTTTTGAACCTGGCACCACGACAGCCCAGAAGCTCTCATTTCCTCCTCACACGATATACTCCATGTCACGCTCGGACGTCCAACTCGTCGCTTCCCATGGGGATTCCACTCGAGCTACTGGCCTGACGCGTGATGTCCCCAGTCGGCCTTCTCAGTGTATGCCCAATCCAATCCATCTCCACTTCCTTCTGCATATTTGTTGTGTGATAGGTTGTTGGTTGGTTCGTTACCAGCCAGAGCTCCTTGTTGCTTATTCTTTCTGGCCATCTGATCTTCAGTAACGAGTCAGCGTAAGCAGTTGTTGATGAATGTCTGTAGTTTATTGGAAATCCCTTTTTCGTGACGCGCCAAGTCTCTGAACCATACAGAGGCACTGACTTGACTGGGTTTGTGTTGAAAATCCGGATCTTGTTCCATATGCTGAGTGCAGAAGATCTCCACACTGGTTTCAGGCTAATGAACGCCTGTCTTGCTGTCTTTTCCGATTCTGACTTTGACATCCTTGTCTGTGTCTGTGCCGCCTGTAGTTGAAACAGTGCTTCCTAGATAAGTGAAGGAGGTTACTTCCTTTAAGTTTCTCCCATTGATGGTGACTGGAGTTTGTTGCTGTTGTTGTTGTAGGAGTTGTCGGTGAGGTATCTTCATCACCTCTGTCTCCTCTATATTCACTTGAAGTCCCGTCTTCGCTGCCTCGCCTCTTCTGTCAACTTGTTAGTTTTTGCCTGTAGATCTTCAAGTTTATGTGACATCAGGCACAAGTCATCGCTGGCGAAATCCAAGTCTTCTAGGTTCTTTTCCGCAGTCCAGCCAGCGTATCCCCCTCTTCTCGCTGCCTACTGTTTGCTGCATGATCCAGTCGACCGCAATCAGGAATATCATGGGAGATAGTAGACAACCTTGTTTCACTCCTGTCTTCACTTAACTTCAAAAGCATCACTGAGCTTCCCATTGTGAATTACTTGTCATGTGGCGTCTTCATATAGTTGTTGAATGAGATTGATAAAGGTTTGCGGTACTCCGTAGTAATGAAGCAGTTTCCAAATTACTTCTCGGTCGACGCTGTCAAAAGCCTTCTCAAAGTCGATGAAGTTGAGGTAGAGATCCAGTTGACTGCCATTCTGTGCTCTGTTCTATGATGATGTGAAGCGTAGCAATTTGGTCTGCACATGATTCGTACTTCCTGAAACCAGCCAGCCTATTCCGGTCGTAGTTTTGAATCCAGTGCATCTTTAAGCCTCTCCAGGATGATGTGGCTTAATATTTTGCTTGCTTTGGGTGGACAGGAGAGTGATTCCGCGCCAGTTCTTGCAAACACTGAGGTCTCCCTTCTTCGGCAGTTTGACAAGGTAACCCTTCTTCCAATCACTAGCCAGGTACCTTCTCTTCCTTCCACACCTTCTACAATAGTGGTGTGAGCATGTCCGCTGTTGTCTCTGTGTCTGTTGTCAGTGGTTCTGGCGGTATCCCGTCTGGTCCTGCTGCTTTCCCTCATTTCAGTAGGTTTATGGAGCTCAGGACTTCCATTTTTGTTGGAGGATTTATGTTTGTTTGTAGTTCAGCGGCTGCAGGTGGTATTTGTGTTGCTGGTGGTGGTCGATTCAAGAGCTTCTTGAAGTGGTCGGCCCATTGTTTACTCTGTTTCTCTTCCCTCCTAATTAAATTTCCGTCATCATCTATAATTGGTTTCATCTGTGTTGATCTCTTCCTAGATAGCAACCTGGTTATTTGATACAATGTTGTCAGGTCTGTGTCCCTCTTACATGCAGCGTGTTCTGCTTCACTTGCTAGTGTTTCATAGAAGTGTAATTTGTCTTTGCGTGCATTCTTCTTCACTTCTTTGTCCAGTGTAGTGTTTTATACATTGTGCTCAGTTCCTCTTGTCGTTGAGCATCCTTGCACTGGTTTATCTTCTGCTTCACCATCACCATCTTCCTCTCCCTGCTCTATCAGCTTCCAGGTATCCGTCGAGATTCAATCCTTGTCTTCTTTCTTCTTCCTTCCTAATACGGTTGTGCAGGTTTCTTTCCACATAGCTTTCAAAGACTTCCAGTGTTCTTCCACACAGGTTTCTTTGGGGATGTTCCTCGATATCTCCCATTTTGTCTTGATGGCTGGCCGACGTGAAGATCTCCTTTGTAGTTTCATCCTTCAGTTCAGTTTCCGAGTGTTGTACCTGAACTGTGGTCTATCACCAGCTTCCTTGAAGGCTTTTAACTTGATTTTGAAGGTTCCTTGCACTAGATGGTGAGTGGTGTGAACCTACATCTGCTCCTCTTCTTGACCTTGTGTCATTTAGGCTGACTGCGTCTCCATTTTCTTGAGATTGAGATAAAGTCGATCTGGTTTTTAGTGTGTCGTGGTGTCTGGTGAAATCCATATCGCTTTGTGGATATCCTTGTGCTTGAACACAGTGCCTCCAATCACCAAATCGTTGAATGCACAGAATTCTGCAAACAATTCTCCATTGTCGTTCATCACGTCACCTAGCGCTTCTCGACCCATGGTTATTTCTCTTCCTGTGTTGTCTGCTCCCAGTTTGGTATTCATGTCGCCCCACCCATTATAATTTTGATATCGCCAACTGCAGTGTGGTCTTGTCCAGTGTTGATTGCGGTTGTCGGTAGAATTCCTCCTTTTCTCTTCATCTACATTATTTGTAGGTGAGTAGTGTAGCATTGTATGATTGTGACTTTCCTTCCTTTTGAGTTGAACCTTGCTGTGATGATCCTGATCCTGGAGGAGATTGGTTCCCACTGCATGAGAGCCTTTGATGCTGTTGGGGACATAATGATAGCCACTGGAAAACTCAGTGTGCTTGTGGTTGTCGTCTGGGTGACAATATCGGAGTAGATTATTGACTCTCCTCTCCAGTTGACAGTTTGGAGAGTCCACTCCCATTCCATCTGCTTTCTCAAATTCCAAGCACTTCAATGTGATACCTCTTCACCTCGCTTGCAATCTGGGCTGCCTTGCTGGGTTCAAACATGGTGCGAACAATCCATGTCCCCACGTTTACTTTCGCTTTCATCGAGGGAGAGAAGACACATCGGCTCGGCCAATTGGCTTCCCGAAGACAGGCTTTCACCAACTGGAGTCATTTCGTCTCTCCGATTCCAGAGAGGAATAATTTTGTTATTATTTTTTATATTTTGTTTGTGCTTTGAAGTTTCTTTAGCGGTTATATTTGTTTTCCTGGGTAGGGTTGCTAGCCCTATGCCCAACCTTCCCTGTTTACGTGGGCTTAGGACCGACTAGTAACTGGTGAACTATTTAACCAGGCGAGGTTATTTTAGTATATAAATGGCTTTATATTCTGATATGGCTCAACTCTATAGTCGTCTTCAGTAGTTCAATAACCAATGTATCTCCTGTACATACCAATACAACAATGATAATTCGATGGTTGGGGTGATCACTTTCCTATCAACCCTGTATACTCTGGTCTTATAGCAAATATTATGGCTAGCGCTTATAAAATATGTCAGTCCTAATCTAGTACGAAAAATTACACTTGAGTTAACTTCTAAATACATACAATACATCATAGACTTTTCATTTCTAGTCAGTTGTGCGTTTGATGAGTACGTACACGCTTAATTTGTGAACGCCAATATTTGCAAACTGAAATCTTTCCAGATTTTTTTCAACAAACACTAATCGATAATACCGTAAGTACTTAACAGTGAAGTACGGATTTCTGTACTTGGATGTGAACTTCTTGGTTGTCCTATAACGTTGCTACTTTCTGCCTGGTTCAATCCAAAAGACCATTTTTTGAATATCGAATAGCTGAATCAACCGACCATATATATATATATGATGAAGACGCATACACCCATTTTGACTTTCAAATTATCGAATATTTCCAATAAACTTTCTTATATGTAAGTTGTGC